ATATGTTGGAAGTGTAAGGAAAAGGAGGGAACATTTTATCATATGTGGTGGGATTGTAAAGTAATTAAAAAATTTTGGGAAATGATATACAATGAACTGAAGAAAATGTTCCATTTAACATTTGTTAAAAACCCGAGGCATTTTTGTTGGGGATTGTAGGGAAAGACCTGCCAAAAAAGTTGAAAAACATCTTCATGTATGCGACAACGGCCGCAAGAGTTCTGGTAGCACAAGGATGGAAGACTGAAGAAATCCCAACTAAAGAATCATGGCAAGAAAAATTGATGGATTATGCAGAACTGGCAAAATTGACATATAAGCTACGGGACAAGGATAACTGTGACTTTAAGGATGAATGGGAACCTTTCACAAAGTATTTGAAGATGCAACAAAGTGAACTGGACTCCTTGGCAGGTTTTGAATAAACATCCACAATTTTTACTGATAATAATTAGCTAAACAGTTGGAGGATCTATACAACTCTGTAACATGCAGAAAATAGCATTATTGGAGAAACCAAAGACTGGAACTGAGGGAAGTTGGGGGGTGAGGTGGGAGGGTTGTGGGGGAGGGGGAGGAAAAATGGGGGGGAATAAGGATATGTTTTTGGAAAATATGTTTTGTTATAACTTTGAATTTAAAAAAATTAAAAAACAACAACAAAATTCCCCATGAAGGGGCCAGGCACCCTCAAATTTTGGTGCCAGGGCCTTGCATGCCGCATGGCACCCATGGCCCTGGCCACCCACGGTCACAGCGCCAAGCTGACACTCCTGGTACATGATGAAAACATTTATTGTGTTTTGCTGATTTCAGAGACACCAAAGTCTGTGCTGAGGTGTCTGTCTTTGTTGTTTATGATGGCATATCTGCATAGGAATTTCCCTGAATAGTTTTTTAATGCTACTTTTTATTGGTAGCAAACAGATGAAGGGCAAGCTTCTGTACATACAAAAGGCAGTGAGATTTCCGCCCGACTCACATGGAAGCCCATTGATGCAAGAGCTCCATGTCACATTGGCTTTGAAAGGATAGGGAAAGGGAGCATTGCATTTGCAAGAGAAACAAATTCCTTGAAACCAGAGTAAGCACATATTTTCATACATGAAGGATGGAACTTCAATGAAACCAATTTCAGTCTGTCTGATTCCCCTCCCTTGCAACTAATTAGATGTTCCTTAGCAATTTTATCTCTTAGGTTTTAAGGAAAGCGGGTCATATCTCACTTATCTTTAAGTGAAATTCTGTTTCAGAAGGAAGCAGAAACTGATAGCAAATGAAATCTGATGAGCAGAAGAGGATTAGCGTATAAATGTGTTTACAATGATTTCAAAGCAATCCACAGTTTTAATCTAATATCTCTCTATATCTGCATCTATCAGACCTGTCAATGCTTAGATAACTTTGCTTACAAATGACGTTGCTGAATGTTTATTGGTTATTTAGGATCAATGAAGTTCAAGAGATTATATTGAATCCTGTTAGGTAGGACTGAGGAGTGGACATGGGATGATGTAGGTTACACTCTGACCATGCTGTGGTTCTGCATTGTATAGTTGTGTGTACGTATGTTTGTGTTTTAATTCCAGTGATTATAAGCCAGTGCAACCAGCTGGTTTACTAGTTTTTGTGTTAAATAGGGCTTAAATAATTATGCACAATATGACCGAATCTATGTGGCAATTTTTGTTTGCCTATTTTTAAAGCAGTTTCTATTTTTTTTGTATGAAACTTGTATATCCATTTTTTAATTATGAAGAGTGCTTTATCTCATTCATGCTCACAATGAATCTGTGAGCTGATTTCCCCCCTATGTTTTAAAGATGTGGGGGGCAGGGAGAAGATCATGCTAAGCCAGGGTCTCTTGACCTGCAATCACACCAAGCAGCACAAAGCAGGCTGGCAGACAAAATGGCACCACCCCATTTCCTACAGTAGAGAAGGCAATTCCATGTGTGCCTTTGTAATCTTGGGGTTGCCACTTCCATTGATATGAATGGGAACTTTAGCACATACAAAAAGGTGGGTGCCTCAAAATATAGGGCCACAGCATTGTGCATAATGGAGCTTGGCTGAGCATCGAAACATTCCACTTCTCTAGCCACGTAGTGCCACCTCCTCTTCCCTGGTGGGGCAGGGATGCCATTTTGTGGTTCACCTCAAGTGCCAAAATGTCTTGGGCTGGCCCCAGGTTAGGTGAACCCTGCCCAGTAAAACATGATGAGAGAATAGAGAAATAAGATGATAAAAGAAAATGAAAAAGACAAGTGAATCCCCATGAAATGGGGTTACTTGCTTGCTATAGTTCACCAGTCGCTTTGCAGGCAAGAGTAACCCCCACTGGAAAAAGAACTGGGTGAAATGGGGTGGGGGGTGTGCCAAGCTAGGCAGAAATTCTGTGTGCACTTCAAAGCTCACAAAGGACTCTGTGTCTGGGCGACTGTACATTGTTATCCAGTTTTCATGGATTCATCAAATCAGACAATTGAAAAGGACAGGAGGGTGTTAAGTTCAGCCAGGGCATGACCAGCCACCACAAGGCTTCTTTGGGTCAACGGACAGTGTCTAGGCCAAAGGGTGTCATGATCAGAGACAAAGGAGCAACTTTGCACTGTTGTCAAGGCAGGAAGTAGCCTCAGCCAGGGGCATCTCTATGGCAAATAATATCAGTTTGCAGTAGAGGATCTTCCAAAAGTTATTTAAGGCAGTAACATAATATATTGGTTTTTCCCCCCTCCACCCTGTCCCGTATCAATCAAACAAACACATTGCACAATTTGGAGCAGCGAACCTATGAGGAAATGTTGCAGCATTTGGGGCTTTTTCATTTGGAGAAAAGGTGAGTGATCAAAGTTTATAAATTATACATGGCATGGAGGAAATAGATAGAGAACAGAATTCTGGACAAGATGAGCTAGTGGCCCGATCCATCTGGCTTGTATTATGCTCTTACGTTCTTAAGGCTGGTTCCACCACTCTGGCTTCTACTTGGCAGGAGAGGGTATGCATTCTGCCTAGAGGAAGTACAGAGTGCAAATGTGATAAATGTGTATGACCTTTGTTCCATCAAACCTCCATATATGGTATGTTGTTTCAGTTTCTTTGGGAATCCAGGGCTTGAAGGCTGTCGATGCAAAACTTTGAAATGTTGCTTTCTTCTGTAAAGATGGCTAAATAATAATAATAATAATAATAATAAATTTTATTTATATCCCGCCCTCCCCAGCCAAAGCCAGGCTCAGGGCGGCTAACAACAAACAAATAATCAAACAATCAAATAATCCAACATTCTAAAACATTTCATTATAAAAATTAATTAAAATCAAATTAATGGCAACCGTTAAGCAAAGTTCTGTGCAGGTTGCCGGAGGTGGGAGTCAGGCTGGGCCCTGACCAAAGGCCTGGTGGAACAACTCTGTCTTGCAGGCCTTGCGGAAAGATGTCAGGTCCCGCAGGGCCCTAGTCTCTTGTGACAGAGCGTTCCACCAGATTGGAGCCGCAGCCGAGAAAGCCCTGGCTCTAGTTGAGGCCAGCCTAACCTCTCTGAGGCCTGGGACCTTCAGGATGTTTTTATTTGCAGACCGTAGGTTCCTCTGTGGGGCATACCAGGAGAGGCGGTCCCGTAGGTACGAGGGTCCTAGGCCGTATAGGGCTTTAAAGGTTAAAACCAGCACCTTAAACCTGATCCTGTACTCCACCGGGAGCCAGTGCAGCTGGTATAGTACCGGATGAATGTGATCTCGCAGCGAAGACCCCATAAGGAGTCTCGCCGCGGCATTCTGCACCCGCTGGAGTTTCTGGGTCAGTCTCAAGGGCAGCCCCACGTAGAGCGAGTTACAATAATCCAGTCTGGAGGTGACCGTCGCATGGATCACAGTGGCTAGGTCAGGGCGAGAGAGATAAGGGGCCAACTGCTTAGCTTGGCGGAGATGTAAAATTGCCGCCTTTGTTATAGCTGTAATCTGCGCCTCCATAGAGAGGGAGGTATCGATGATTACACCCAAACTCTTAACGGACGGTGCTGGCACTAATTGCACCCCCGCAAGAGATGGGAGTTGCCCCCCCAATCCCATATCGTCCCGTCCCAGCCAGAGGACCTCTGTCTTCGAAGGATTTAACTTCAACCGGCTTCCGCGTAACCATCCAGCCACAGCTTCCAAACATCTGGTCAGTGTGTCTGGGGCCGAGTCAGGATGGCCATCCATCAACAGATAGAGTTGGGTGTCATCGGCATACTGATGGCAACCCAGCCCAAAACTCCGGACAAGCTGGGCGGGGGGCGCATAAAGATGTTAAAAAGCATCGGGGAGAGTATCGCACCCTGAGGCACTCCACACACCAAGGAGTGGCGGGAGGACAATTCCCCCCCAAGCGCCACCCTCTGTCCCCGACCGGAGAGAAACGAGCGCAGCCATTGAAGGACTGTGCCCTGGATCCCCACGTCGGCAAGGCGGTGGTCCAGGAGTTCGTGATCAACCATGTCGAAGGCTGCTGACAGGTCTAGAAGAATCAGCAGCCCCGACCCGCCTCGATCCAGCTGCCTGCGGAGATCATCTGTTAGGGCGACCAGAGCCGTCTCGGTCCCATGACCAGCGCGGAAGCCAGACTGGAATGGATCCAGAGCCGATGTTTCATCCAGAAACCTACCAAGCTGTTCAGCAACCGCTCTCTCAATCACCTTACCCAGGAATGGAAGATTCGAAACCGGGCGGTAATTGGATAGATCTAAGGGATCTAATGATGTTTTCTTTAAGAGCGGGCGCACCACTGCCTCCTTCAATTCCCCTGGAAATATCCCGGTGCCAAGGGACAAATTGATGATATCCCCCGGGGGGCCCGCACCTCGTCTGGACACGCTCTAATCAGCCAAGACGGGCACGGGTCAAGAGGACAGGTGGTGGGCTTTCCAGCTCGGAGGAGTCTGTCCACATCGGCTGGGGATATCCGATCAAAGTGGTCCAATACTGGACCCGAGGACAGTCGAGGGGCCTCCAGTTCCTTTATTGTATCCAAATTGGCAGGGAGGTCATGGCGGAGCAACAGGACCTTCTCCGCAAAAAGCTCGCAAATGCCTCACAGCTGTGTGTCAGATTGTTATTTAAATTTGGCTGTCCTTCAAGGGACGTTAAAGACCTAATTATACTAAATAATTGCGCCGGGCGAGAGCTAGCGGATGCAATGGAGGCCGAGAAGTAAGACTTCTTAGCGGCCTTCACCGCCATCTCATAGGTTTTCATAAAAACCCTATAAGATGTTCTTGAGGCTCCGTCACGGGCACCCCGCCATACTCGCTCTAGCCGTCTGAGGTCCCGCTTCATTTTCCGAAGCTCCTCGGTAAACCAGGGAGCCCGGTTTCTGCGGAGTCGCAGAGGGCGCTTAGGTGCGATCTCATCTATGGCTGCCAGGAGCTGGGTATTCCAGCCCTCAACAAGCTCAGTCAATGAGTCGCCAGGGGGAGCAAGGTCCCGCAAGGCTTGACGGAATCTATCAGGGTCCATCAGCCTCTGCGGGCGAGCCCAAATCGGCTCGCCACCTAAGCAGGGTGGGGGTGGAAAGTCAATCCTGGCTTTCAGAGCGTAGTGATCAGACCATGGCACCTTAATTGAAGGAGACATGATCACATCTATACCTACGCCAAAGATCAAATCCAGCGTGTGGCCTGCTTGATGTGTGGGCCTGAAACAAACTGGGAGAGCCCTAGTGTTGCCATGGAAGACACCAGGTCCAGAGCCTGTGAGGAGGGAGTGGCATCAGCATGGATGTTGAAGTCCCCCAATACCAATAGGTTAGGGAACTCCAAGGCCCAGCCGGCCACCGCCTCCAGTAGGCCTGACAGGGTGGCTGCTGGTGCGCTAGGTGGCCGGTACACCAGCCAGACAGCCAAGCTCACCTCAGAGCCCCACACTAGGCCAACACATTCAATGCCGGGGATCGATGGCGATGGTAGAGCCCTGAAAGGACAATCTTCCCGGATTAATAATGCCACCCCTCCCCCGGCCCACAGTCCGTGACTGGTGGAGGACGGAGAAACCCGGGGCGCCATCTCTCGTAAGGTAACTGTTGCCCCTTCGCGTACCCAGGTCTCCGTCACACAAGCCAGGTCAACCCCCTGCGAGGTAAAGAAATCTCGCAGAGTGGCGGTTTTGTTGCCTATAGACCTGGCATTGCACAACACCAGTGACGGAGGTGAGTAATCCTTGCTCACCCTACCCTCGTCCCTCGGGATGGGGCGCAGATTGGAAGGGGTACGAGCATATCCGTATCTCGATCCCCTTCGCCTATAACATCTGCCCCCACCACCATACCTCCCTCGCCCCTCCACGGTAGCAATCCCAAGCCTCATACAAGCCTCCATTTACAAAATAGAAAACCAAACCAAACTGAAAACAATTCTACCTAAACAAAACCAATCCCCACCCCAAAATGTTGTTTGGAGAGATCCCCGGTCATGTAAAAATGCTTTCTGAGAAATTTAATTGATTTAATTAATATTTCAAACCCTTTGCATTAAAAATGAGGAATGAAGTATTTACACTTCTGTGGACCAGGCGGTCCAGCTGCTACTACTATCAATGTCACTCATGGATTCAAATTGCTGGGCTGTGTGTTAAGTTGAATACAATTATTCCTTGATATTTCACTATCAAGCTGATAATTTCCACTACAAATTAGTGCAATATTTCAAAATCAGTTAAAACTTATTAGGTTCAAAAGCTCCCCTGCCCTTTCTTGCAATGCCTCCCTCATGATAAGAATAAATACCAGGGAATGATAACACTGGCAAAGGGCCCCCAATAAGGGAGTACAGGGGGTACAACTTTACAAGGGTCTTGCAGTTAAATTAGTACTTTTGAACATTTTCTGCATGACAGACTTTAGAATGTTGTTAGTCTGCTGAAGTGCCCCTGTAAATTTCTTCTGCTAGATTTTATCCTTAAGTAATTATGAGTAAGGAGGAGAAGGAGAAGGAGAAGGAGAAGGAGAAGGAGAAGGAGAAGGAGAAGAGTGGATTGTACACATTATGGAGACCAGCTAATGTTGTGTTCCAGTGACTTGTCTGGTGGGATGCAGCCACAATGCTAGCTTCCTGGCAGGTGTGCTGCTGCAGTTTGCCAGGAGGGACAGGTTGTGGGGAAGTCAGCACAGTAGGGGTGCAGTGGGGGCACTCCTGCTGGTGCACCCACACCACATCAACTCCCCTCTGGCCGACCCCACTCAGTAAGTGTAGTGGCACACCTGCCCAGATTCTAGCATTGTGTTTCCACCCTACTGGGTGAACTGCTTCTAGTTCTGGTGTGTTTATACCAAGCACATACCATTACATAGCTGTGGCTCTAGAACAGTGTAAAGTTTGGGACTGTAGCACAAAATGTGCTTTGCACATTGTGCTGGTGCCTGAAATAAGGAGCCTTGGTGTATCATATATTCTCAATGGAATGTTCATCTCCCCCCCCCCCCCTTAACCTCAGTAGTCTCAGTGAAACAAATCTGGTTCCATGTAGCCACCAGAATCTGTTGCTAAGAAGGCAATGCCAAGGTCCTCCTTTGCAACATTATTTTTACAGGCTTATTTTATCTTCTGCCTTCCAAATCACTGGGGCGAATGCACCCCTTTGACTTGTATGGGACAAAGGAAAATGGTATGGTGGCTACATCTCCAGTAGGTTCATTTGAGAGATCCTGCAAGAAATAAGAATGGATGTGTTCCAATATTCTTGTTCAGAGGCTGGCACCAAGAAATCTGAAATGACAGAGGCCTGTCATAACCGCTCCCTCATACATTCAGCTGATTTTTTAAAATTGCTTTATTAGTTGTTAAAAGAAAAAAACCAGTTAACAAAGAAAGAAGAAAAGAAGAAGAAAACCAAAAGATAAAACAGATTACATAAAGTAAATTGATTTCTTACAACACAATTTCAGTGTCGGGATTTACGATGTCTCTCTCACACCAAGACACGGCAAGCTGGCAGGTTTATTTATTTATTTAGTAATTATACAGTAGTTTCAGTCAGAGCCTTCCTGGCTCAATCCTCTCCCAATGAGGCAGTTGGACCCACTGGGTGACTCTGCCATCGCCAGCAGGATATCCTCCACTGGTTGCCCCACCTCCTGCTGGGCTGGCGTTGCACCTGTATTCTACTCTTTCACCTACCAAGAGGAGATTCGGGAACAGCTTGCCCCTTCCTCCTCTTCTTGAGCTGAATTTAACAGCGGCTGTTCCTCTGAAGCAGGCTCTGTCCACCCTGTGCTGTCTTGGGGATTTATAGCCTGCATTCCCGAGTGGGAGGGACTCACCTCACCCTCAGTGTGGGAAGGAATCAAGCCTCTACTCCCCTCAGCCGGCCCCCCTTCTTCTCTGCAGTCATCGCTGTCACTTTGGGAAGGCACGTTCCTGACAATTATTTATGACTTCCAGTCACACCATCGAGAGTCCTAAGTTTCTTTCTCTCCCCCGCCCACCCGCCATTTCTCTTAAGACTCCAAATTTATCCCATTCAGCTGATGTTGATGTGAACACCATAAAATGACCCTCAGCTCCTGTCTCTTGCCACTATTGACCATCTGAGGATCAATAGACAAGGAGGAGTCTGGCCTACTAACCAGTCATTCTCTCTCTATTTCTGCAGGTTAGAGATGGGTATGGATTCTTATGTATCCAAAACAGCACTACCTCCACACAAGAGGGAAGTGTCAGCAAAAGTACAAAAAGTATTTGGGGAGGGGAACCATAATGAGGAACAACATGCATCACCCCCCAAGAGCAAATGCATCATTTTTTATTTTTTTTTAAAAAGGAGGGTGAAAGAAATTAGATTTGCACTGAAACGTGCATCCGGTAATCTATGTGTAAAGATGCAAATTTAGACATACTCACTTTGGATTAATTAGAAACGCAATACATATCATAGTGGGGAAAACTGTGGCAAATGTGCTTCCTCAGCCCTGCTGTCCAAGTGCTAACTCCTTTGGGCAACATCAAGGCCTCTTCTCTCCCTTCTTACACTTATTTGTCTTTAAACCGGACCTGATCCTGAGATCCCTTCAAAGGGAAATGTATTTTAAATATTGGGAGGTCCTTTGACAGCTTTTCAGATGGCTGTAAGGTAAGACACATGCCTACCCTAGGACAAGAATAGAGGGGAGGGGAATGGGATGGAGTACAGTGCAAGAAGGCATGGCTGAGTGACTGGGACACAGAACAGGAGGACTGCAACACTGCAATCTTTTGCTGCAGACTCCAATTGTTTTCCACTAATATCTTTTTGTCCTTAAAAGCTCAATCCACAAAGCACTCACTCCTAATCTGCCTCACGCCTGCTATGCCTCAAATGAAGCCTTCTAAATGGAGCACACACATGGAAAGGTTGATCTTTAAAAAAATACTGTACAGATTATTTGCGAATTGTTCCTTTCAAGTGAAATTCTAATTTCTTTTTTGTGTCTTTTACCTAAATATAGCCTTTTCACACTTAAGGATGAAGAACTCTCATCCTGATTAATGCACTTGGCTTCTCAGCAGGCTGAGTGTCAGTGGAAGGTGTTAGAAAGCTTAACGAATGTACACATGTGAGGGATGATGCCATGCTATGTTCATTACCACAGAGGAAAAGTGTCACTTTAATATAATTCATGTTTTAGTTGAGAAAATGAGAAGAACCCTGTAAAAACTACTTAATTCACTGGTATCAGAAAGAGGCTGCCTGTGAGTTAAGAAAATCAGCTTGTCTTAGTTTATTTCTGAATTGTTTTTACAACTTGTATGTATGTTGCCCCTTAAAATATATGTATGTGCATGTTTGTTTGTTTGTTGTTGTTGTTGTTGTATGTGTGTATTTACATCTAAATAATAGTAATAATAATTTATTATTTGTACCCTGCCCATCTGGCTGGGTTTCCCCAGCCACTCTGGGCGGCTTCCACAAAGACCAAAAATACACTAATGTGATTTTGTATTAATGTGTTGCTGTTATAATGAATTTTATTTATGAAACCTCTGCATAGCAAGTGACAAACAAGTCTAAATACCATACAAATACAAATAATCAAAACATTGTTCTATATAGGTTTCCTGTCTCCTAGCGTCCATGTTCATTACTGTGTTGAGAAGGCAGCACGATATAAGCACAGTGGCTTTTCCTGCTCTGCTATTACTATTAGCAGCGGTAAATTCTTTTGAACATAATTTTCTGGGAATGTGTACTTTCCTTTCTGGATCCATGAAGGAAAGTGTTTCCTTCCTATGGATAAGAGCAATTATCAACTGGAAACAACTATCCAATATTGGGGGCAGGGAATTTTCACTTGGCAGATAGAAAGAAATGAAAATATCTACCAACATTTCCATTTTGGAAATGGTTGTTGGTATCTGACTGTCTTGAGAGACAATGGAAGACTGCGCCATTGGGTGTAAAGTCAAAACAGAGAGTTATAGTGCCTCTTTTTTCCCATTAAGGGACATTGTTTGCTCTGTCATAATCTGCTTAATAATATCCACAGTAAGCAAGGACCATGAAGATCTCCTTCTTTCTTCCACCTCTTTTTTCATTCTGCCTCTCTTTTTTCTTTTTCTTTTAGGAGTGCAGTTTTTCTGACAGTTGGTCCAAAGGCTCTCTTC